TATACTCTGGGGGTGCAAGTTGATCCTGATAGGGTCCCCACCCTGAAGGCATCACAGCCTAATGAAGGATACACTAAACCCAGCACCGATAACACATAAGCAGTCAAACCGATATCGTAACAGAATGTTACGGTGCCTCAAAGAATGTGGCTCGGGAGACCTAGCCTGGGAACTGGCTCTCAAAGATGAAGGAATGGAAAAGGCATCTGGGCCATGGGCAGAGGGAGGGAGGCAAGGAGGAGGGATAGTATGTAGGGGAAATAGCAAGTAATTCATAGTGGCTGGAAGACAAGGTACATTTGAACAAATGGTTGGAGAAGAGGCTGAAAATCATTTCAATCAAAAAATTTATTGAGCACCTACTATATGTCAGGCTCTATATTTAGTGCCAGGGAGACAATGAGATAAAACTAGGTTCCTTCCTCATGGAGCTTATATGCAGGTATATTATCTTGCTCTACTTTGTTATCATAGCCAGAAAAATATAAGCAAAGGAGAGGCTTTGCAAAATACTTGGCTGAAATCCACATACAGAGTAGCTGGTGTATCTACTTACAATTCTAAATGGAATGTGGTAAGGGTTCGGTGAAGTTTGGTACGTGAATCTTACTGCCAGAGTTCCTGCCAAAGACGATAGGGTAGATGCTGTCGATTCAGCTACCCAATGCTATTCCCAACCCTGTTCCCTGCCCTTCTCCCACAACAGAGGCTGGAAAATCCAGCTGCCCATGCAGCTAGGGATGACCCAGAGTTTCTGGGAAGGGTTATTTTCCTGAGTGACAAAGGAAAAGAGTCATAAATTAGAAGGCCTCACCCCCCCCCCGGTTCCCTGCCTTGGAGTCCAGGGGTTCAGGATGTGCCATTGGGCACTGGGGGAGCCATCTGTGGTCAGTGATTGGGGATCAAGGTGGTGTGAGGTGGGGCGCATTCTTCACTGGAAGCCTTGGGGGAAGAAACCATTTCCTTGCCTCTTTTAGCCTGTAGAGGTCACTCTCATCCCTTGACACATGGCCCCCTTCCTCTTTAAAGTCAACAACAATAGCCCTGACCGGTTTGGCTCAGTGGATAGAGCGTTGGCCTGCAGACAGAAGGCTCCCAAGTTTGATTCCGGTCAAGGGCATGTACCTTGGTTGTGGGCACATCCCAGGTAGGGAGTGTGCAGGAAGCAGCTGAATTGATGTTTCTCTCTCATCGATGTTTCTAACTCTCTACCCCTCTCCTCCCTCCCTCTCTGTAAAAAAATCAATAAAATATATTTTAAAGTCAACAACAATAGGTAGAGTGCTTTTCATGAGTCATCATCTGGTTCCCTGCCCCTGAGAAAGGTTTTTTACTTTTAATGACTCATAGAGTTAAATTGGGCCCACCTAGATAACCCAGAATACTCTTCCACGGCGAAGTCCTAACCGTGATGACATCACTCGGGCCATTATTCTGTCTACCACAGGAGGATGACCGGGTCCTGGATGGCATTGGAGAGGAAAGCACTCCTGCTATCAGCCACATCTGGAGTCCGTTTTGAATGAACCACCAAGGTTATTATAAAGATGCTGTTATTTTTTTCTGTTCCTGGAAGCCCAAAGCATTCCTAACTGATGTAGGAGATACTGGCATGATGAACAAAAGCCAAAAGGGGAACAAATTACAGCTTTGTGAACCCAACCCACCCACGTTTCCAAGCCCAGTGTGCGGCTCTGTTAAAAGCAAGACAAAAATGCCATGTTTGGGCGTGAGCAGGCTCTGTCTCTGTCCTGACCTTCCTCGCAGACGAGAATGCTGGCCTGTTCACCCACAAGGCCGCAGAATGAGCAGGAGGAGTGTGATGGGACAGAAACAGTGGCCGTGGGTTCTCTCTGTTTAGTTCCTTCTCCTTCTCTTTCCCCCTCCTGTCTGGCTTTTCCTGCCTCATGAGCCTGGTTCTTTAGGTTTTAGACACAGTTAGGAGAAAGGGATACAGGGCAGAAGGATGAGAGTTAGAGAAGCAAGGGGCCTGGCCTAAGTGGCTCAGTGATTGAGCATCGACCTATGAACCAGGTCATGGTTTGATTCCTGGTCAGGGCACATGCCCGGGTTGCAGGCTTGATCCCCAGTGTGGGGCACACAGGAGGCAGCCGATCAATGATTCTCTCTCATCATTTCTATCTCTCCCTCTCCCTTCCTCTCTGAAATCAATACAAATATATTTTTTAAAAAGAGAGTCCTGTGGTGTGGGGTGGGATCAGAAAAGGGGCATTAAGGGTTCCTGTGTTCTATCACCTTTAGAAACGTAACTCGATTATTCTGAGATGACTTTGATTGCTAGACTGGGTTTCGAAGTTCAGAGGCCAACAGCTGTGGAGCAGGTCCCTCCGTGCAGGTCTTGCTGAGGTGCATTTCAGCAGCAGCACAACTGTTCAGTGGATAGACCGGAAAGGGGGTAAGAAATCCCTGCTGGGGGAGTTAGTGTGTCGAAAACAGGCTATTTCCCTCGAACTCCCAAGAAGGAGGGGAATTAGACTTCTTCCTTTAGCTAAACTCAAGAGAAGCACGAAATGTGTACGGGAGCTACTGACACATTGGGGGAGGGGGGGTGGCAGTGCAGAAGCTGCGGGTCCTGCTGACTTGCCACTTGGCCAGAGCAGCACCAGGGGCGAGAGGTGGCGTGCTGGAGCAGCTAGGCAGAGTGGAGCAGAGGCAAAAAGGAGAGACTCTAAGAGCACTCATCCCGAGAGGGAGGGATGGAAGATGGAATAAGGGTGAAAGGCTCAGTGAGGACCAGGGCAGCATGGGACAAATAGTACATATTTCACAGGAAGGCCTCGTGCCTGCAGGAGGTTGGCAAGTCGTTTCATAAACTCCAGTGCTGTTTGGAATTGAGTCCTTGTCTGGTAGGACCTGCTGGGCACCTCTTCACAGTGAATGAATAGCAGGATTCTCACTATGACCAAGAGGAGGCTGCAGTGTGAGGGGATGTCTTTACCCTCCTGTCAGAGCTGGTGCAGGAGGAGCGGTGGGGAGAGCGGAGCCCTGGCCCCCCTCTTTTCCTCTCCAAGCAGGGGGCTCCAAGGAGGGGCGCTGTGCTTGGTGGTGGGGGTGCTTTAAATCGAATGACTACTAAGATCAGATTGTTTTAATAATGCCAAGTGACTTAAAAGTTACAGGGCTGCACTAAGCTGGATGACAGCAACTTCAGTGGGAAACTGCATTCGACAGAGCACATAGGGCTGGCAGTTACACTGCATATTTGTATCTCAAGTTGATACTCCTTAATTAAATGGGTTCCTTAAGCATTATCAGAGGCAGAAAACTAAGAGCCCTCTGGACAGGGGAAGGAGCAGGCTGGGAGCAGGGAAAGCACATGAGTATGGTCCCCACCTCTCAGGCCAGGCCACAGGGCCCACTAGTCATTCTCTGGGGAGGGGTGACTCCTCGGCCATGTCCAGTCAGAAGGCCAGGGTCTCTTGCAGACAGGAGGGAGCGAGCATTCTGCCCCAGTGTTGTCTGCCCTCCTTGCTCGCCCCTACTGACTGCTGCATTCTTTTCTAAATGCTCACACTTGCTTTAATACACTCTTGGTTGTGTCCAGTATTCTCGAGTGTTTCTCAAAGCCAAGTTTTGAAAATGAACACTGTACCTAACCACATGACCACAGCACCTTGCTTCCCCAGGTGAATGACACTGAAGGGACATGATTTCATGTACTCTTAAGTCTAGTTGGTTACAAGCTTTATTTGGACAACAAACTCCTTTATAAACCTGATTTAAACACTCCCCCCCCCCAAGACTATACACACACACTATTTTGCATTTAAGAATTTATGGCCTTCTGTTGGCTAGTGACTAAAGTATTGATTTGTTTTTCAAAAACTACACAGAATTGTTTAGATGGAGTTTTATTTAGCAAACAAAAAACTTGCTAATTCAGATTCGCCTCTATTACATGTACTCTAGACTACAATTTGCAAGTCATAAGCACAAAAAAGCTGGGTAGGGTCTCGATGCAGAACAAAATTCAGAGGGAGAACTTCAGTAGCCAAATGAACCAGAATAAAAGACTTTATTGTATTCCATACATTCACAGGTCACTTCCAGATTTAGTGCACTCATTTAACTCAGGCCACACTGTAAGCCTGTAGCTCTCTCCTTCTCTCTTGGCCTAGAGATGTGTCGCAAAGCCATTCCTAACAGTGCAGCCTGCTAACCAATAGCTACTTGACCATTTTCTAGCTGTGGCACAGGTTCATCCTGCTCTCTCAGAATTTTAAAGTACTTTCCATTACAGTACAAAAGAGATTACCGAACATTCTATTGTAGAATTCTATTGTAGATCCTCCTTCACTCACCATTTTTATCCCATCGTCTTTTCACTTCCATAGTTTCTGAAGTGGACTTTTAGCGAACTTCTGTACAGAGCAGATAATCACAGCATGGTCCTGAAACCATAGCTTTTCCTCCTTTGGCCAGAATGTACCCCTCGCCTTCAACATCTGCCTCAGAAATGTCGGTGCCTGGTTCTCACGGGCGTCCTGGCTGACACAAACCCATCTGCCGCACAGTAAAAGCGCTTTGAAACCTCAGTGTGGCCTGTGGAAGCAGGGTCAGTTTACTGCCTGTGGCCTGTCTCAGCCTCAGGAGACTCAGCAGGTGAACCAGGCTCCAGGCCTGCCCAGCGTGGGCAGTTGGTCCACAGTTAATGCTCTGCCTCTTGGCCACAGAGGTGCTCACTTGATCGTTTGAATCTGGGGGGGGGGGGGGGGGAGAGGGGGTGACACATGTTTATCTCCCTTATACCCTTACACAAATTACTGTTCCTATCCCAAGTTCATTTTGAAAAGTTTACCACCCCCTTTATTGAAATTACTAAGTGCAACATTGTGTTTTCACTCTATTGGGCACTGAAAAAGAAGAGTTTAAACGTTCTTTTCTATCATGAAATTTTCTTTACTCTTGGTATTTGTGATATGCCTGCAATTAAAAGTAGCAAACACAAATAAAAAATCAGGGCAGAAGGCACAGAATGAGAAGAATTTTACCATTTACTCTTTTAGGAACACTAAACGAAACCAAATCAAACAAGCTCACAGTCAGTTTTGTTTACAAATCAGCCTCCCCTGCTCCAGTCAGTCCCTGAAATCAGAAACCCCATTTATTAACCCCATGTCCAAAGTAAGCAGGCCTGTATGGACCAAAGAAAGTCCGTGATCCTGAGAGACAACTCACCACCACATTCCCAGCTTTCCTGCGAGACAACTGTCAATTCCAATAATGCAAACCCGAACACTACTTCAAAGTGATCAGAATGCTATATAGTTTATACGGAATAAAAATTAGCCAGAAAAATACCTTAGAAAAGATTTTTATCCTTGTGGATGCCAAGAGACTTTTAAGCTATATTATATTAAGTCATTATATTCAAACTGCAGATATTGACAGGATCCTCCAAAGTTAAATATTAACATCTTTTCATCTCTTATGGGAACTTTACTGTAAACACCTTATCATAGAAATGAGATAATTATTCAGTACACATTACAAAATGTTATATTTAAAGAAAACAAATCTATTCTTAACCCAGATTCTTCATCCATAAAAGTTGAATGACTAAAATAACACAACAGAATGAACAAATGTTTTATTGGCATGTTCATTGTTGTAAACAGCATCTGGCATGAAAAAGTTTTACCAAAACCTTTTTATTGATTTTTATAAATTAGATGGCATTTTCAAAATGTACGTATAATTGTGTTCACTGAATAGTTGTATTTAGCAAAGCAAAAACTTGCCGACTCTAATCGACTCTGCAATGAAATCATGTTGACTGCATCAGCCTGTGCTATGACCTGACTTACTAGCAAGTTTATTCAACACGATGTTAAGACATTTCCCCAAAGTCAAACTACGTGTAACTACAAATCAACTCCAAAAATTAAAGTGGGATTTACAAGGGTTCTGGAAGATTCAAACTTGAAGTATATTTTCAAAAGTAATGTACAAAAAGAAATAAAACTGAAGCCACTGAACAGAAAAACCTCATTAACAAGGGCAAATACAACCGTATGGGACCCAGCACTGAGGAACCTCACCGAGGAGTACATTTACAGACTGCTATACTTCTCAATGTACACAAATGTACATCATGAATGACATGTGAAAAGAACAACCACGGGAAATAGGTGAACTGCAATTAGGATAACTCAATAGGATCAATTATATTTACATGCTGAATGAACGAGTGAAATGTATTGTCTACATCCATAACTTAAGTACAGTTATAATTACAATATTCAGCAATTTGAGCTGCCATCTGCTGGGAGCAGTCTAAGGGAAATGTTTTGGTGTTCCAGAATAATGTTCTTTATACTTCGCAAAAAATGAAACAAGAAAACACAACTTCACAATTCTTTACTGGGTTACGGCTGGTTCTAAGAATTTCCTTCTTCAGCTCCTATTTTTGCTGCTTTCCAAGAGTCAACACACGTTGAATTTACTTACAAATTGTCAATGAGGTAATGTGTGTATCAGTGAAATAAACAGAAAATTCATTCATTCATGGCCTTTGCACAGCTTTTATTATTAAGCTATGAGCATCCTGTTTGAGGCTAGTTTTACTAGCGGCTATGTGCACATTTGTCCGCAAAAAGACATTTACTCATTCCCCTTTCCCCTTTTCTAGTAGCAGGTTTTGTTTTTGTTTTTATTTTTTTGCACATCCCTTTTCACTTTACAGTACATTTGACTATAGTGCACAACATGATTCCAAGTCAAAACAGTGGCCCACTGGGCACTGAGCTTCTGATTGGTGAAGGGCAGTCCAATCAGTGCTGGTGTCACGGGGTTACCCCTAACCATGTCCTGCCATAATGGCACTACACAGTAGCAGTGAACCATCTAATTAAAACCAATCCCCCAGGGAAAATGCTACACTAGCAGAGTCAGTCTTGAGTCAGATCTTTATTTGGTGCTCCATCCAGATATATTTTTAGTGCTTTCTCTTTCCGAGGTGAGTATGTTACTCGATGTCCCGTCTTCTGGAGTCGACTGCTTTCTTTTTTCATCAGTTCATTTCTTTGCTCATCTGTCAACTCCATTAATTCTTCTGTTTTATCCCTACATTTAAAATATTAATGACACATTAGGCCAGTATAGCCACCTGCCTCTATTAATTTATGCTTGAATACTATAATGCTCCTTAGTGAGAAAGTGAAATCTGCTGTCACCAATGAAATTAATCTCATATACTAAGATGTTGTAGATTTCTAATGTGTTTATTAGTATAGCACTCACTTCTAAAACTGGCACAATTTCCATGTTATTAGAATAAAAGCTATCATTTCTGAACATCTATTTAATAACAAGCACTGTGCCAGTTTTCAAAAATGTAATAATAGTTCTAATTCTCATAAAATCTGTCACCACTTTACAGATGAGGAGTTAGATAAATAACAAAGCTAAATTTAAACCTGTATCTGCCAAGCTCCAATGACTCCTTTGTCCTCTACATCTGTGTGTCCAACATGTCAGCCAATAACCACATGTACCTATTGATTGCTTGTAGATGTGCCTGATCAAAATTAAAATGTGCTGGAAGTATAGCATATACACAGTATTTCTAAGACTTACTACAAGAAAACAGCATAAAATACCTCACAAATGACTTTATATTGATTACATGTTGTAATCATAATATTTTGGACATACAGGGTTAAAAATATTTTATTAAAATTAATTTCATCTGTTTCTTTTTATTTTTTAAAATATGGCAACTAGAAAAATTTCAAAAATGAAATGTGTGGCTCTCTCATTATATTTCTATAAATGACATTTATGCAAAACAAAAATGTTATATCACTAGAAATAACAAAAACATTGTGCATGTTACCTATAAAATATGACTGCACCATCATCGCAGATATAAAGAGGCCAGACATTCAGGGTAGAAACTTTAGGATTCCAATCCAAATCCTGATGAATATCAAGGACAGAAATATCGCAGGGAAAGGTTCCTCTACCCTAAGGAGAATGAAGGAACAAACCAGGCCATTAACCATGTTTAATGCCAACTAGTCACCCAATGCAAACATTCTCAGGGCTTTACCTTGGCAAATTCAATATCTTCCAAAGGAATTCCACTGATTTCACAAAGCTATAAAAGAAAACATCATATGAGTTCATTTAAAATATAAATTTACTTTAAAAAGTTATTTTCCTTTCATCCAACAAACATAGAAATAGCTGGATTTTTTTCAAAAAAAGTAATATACATTTGATATAAAAAAATTAGAAAAAAAGGAGAAAGTGAAATTATTTTGTCTATCTGCTCTGCAAATGCCATGTCCTAGAAATATAAATTTAGTATATTCCTTCTAGGCCTTTTCCTTTGCATATATAAACTATATGAAAAAATTTCTAATACGTAAAACTTTATTTATAAAACATATCTATATAATACATTTACTTTATAAGAACAATTATTCTATTATAAGAATAGGATATGGAGTAATCGCATTCTCGTCAACAGTTGAACTATTTTATTTCCAACTGACGTGGACATTGAGCCTATTTTAAATTTTTCCCAGTTACACTGCTATACTATACACTTCCATGAATATCCTGACCTATTTCTACAAATATTTTTGAACTGAGTTCTTAGATGTGGAACTGCACATGTGGAATGTTGATCATGCCCAACTGAACCGTGAAAAAAATTATGTCAATTTAACCACTTATCAAAGGTGTACAATATTTCCTGTTACCTTGATGACTTTAGGTATTCACCGACTTTCTAAATTTTCATCAATTATAAGAAGTGAAAATGCTGTTGTTTTAACTTGTATTTCTTCAACAAATTGCCTATTCATGTACTTGGCCATTTTAAAATTAGATTATTCATCTTTTTCTTATTAATGTAGTGGGCTCCTTATAAATTATGGACATAATGTTTCATATATTGTTTCAAATATTTTTTTCCTTTCTTATATTTTAACTTTGTTTATCAGTTGTTTAAAAAATTTTTTTGGCTGTGCAGAAGATTTAACTTTTATATATCTTTTTTTTTTTTTTAGCTTTTTGTATTATGCTTATAAATATCTTTCCCTCTCCAGGATTATAAAAATATTTTCATCTGGTATATTTATCACTTTATTAACTTTTTAATATAAATTTAATACATTTATGATTTATTTTTGTGTTTAGTGTAAAGTATCAAAATAATTTTTTCCCCCAAATGCCAGTTGTCCTAGTATTGCTTCTAAATAATTCACTCTTTTCCCAGAGATCCTTAGAACTCTCACCTTTAAAATAAAAAATTTAGCCTGGCCGGCATGACTGGTTGAGCATCAACCTGTGAACTAGGAGGTCACAGTTCAATTCCCAGTCAGGACAGATGCCTGGATTGCAGGCTTGATCCCCAGTATGGGGTGTGCAGGAGGCAGCCAATCAATGATTCTCTTTCATCATTGATGTTTCTATCTCTCTCTCCCTCTCTGAAATCAATAAAAATATATATAAAAAAAAAATAAAATACATTCAAAAGAGACTTTCATCTAGATTCTCTACCAAATTTTACCTCCCTCTTCTTTTTCTTTTCTTTTTTTTTTTTTTAATACATACAGCAATTTACTCTGGTAACTTCTAACTAATCCTAACTACTTAGGACAGCGGTTCTCAACCTGTGGGTTGCGACCCCTTTAGCGGTCGAACGACATTTTCACAGGCATTGCCTAAGACCATCCTGCATATCAGATATTTACATTACGATTCATAACGGTAGCAACATTACAGTTATGAAGTAGCAACAAAAATAATTTTATGGTTGGGTCACAACATGAGGAACTGTATTTAAAGGGCCAGAAGGTTGAGAACCACTGACTTAGGACAAAGTTGATCGAAATAACAGAAAGTGAGGGTCCATTTCTGAATGGACAGAAGCCAATGTTATTTTTCAAGGCATCGGGAGCCTTAAGAAACAACTAGAATGTGTGATTCAAGGTGTCATAAAATGTGACAGAGACAAAGAAAGAAAGGTTGCTGTGTCAGTATCTGGCACTCACTTCCTAGGATACCTCTTAGGCAATATAGAGAAAATACAAAATGTATACTAACTCATTTTGTTAAAAATTAACTTACCTTCTCTCGCAACTCATCAACACTACTGCTTTCCAACACAACCTCCTGGAAGGGATCCAACTTCATCTCAGAGGGCCTCCACCGTCTTGACAAAACTGCAAGCTGTGACATGGATTTCATCTTCTCCACCCCTATGAACGTACAAGATTAGGCTAGCACAGTATTTTCTCTAGAGTTTCTAATTTGACTTTTCCTATGCCTGACTAAACAAAAGGATTTACTTCAAGTGTTACTCTTACAAAGTGGGCATAAAAGAAACCAATTATCCCCAGGAGTGTTTGAGAATGAAATATTTATTTTCCCCCTCCAGTCTCAGAAGATAATTCCTAACTCTTCTGCAAGCTCTGGTTCCACCAGTATTCCTAATCCCATTCTCTCCTGACTCCTGCTGAGCACTGCTCTACCAATTACTCTCTTCTCTGGTTCTCCGATCTTTGCTTCTCTATTGGCTACTATCCACAATCTGAAATCGTAATCACATCGTCTTCACTCTACCTCCTTTATTTACTCAAGCTGTCATTACTTCTTCTCTTTAAATTTATACCCCCAAAATTTACCGTTTTCTCAAAACCCACCTCAATTGTTACCTTTCTCTCTGGTACATATAAGAACAAATTGTATTGATTTGGTCCTTAGTACCTATCATTTTGGAATTACAGGTTTCAAGTTCTGGTTCACCCACAGACTATGTACATCTGGAAGGCAATCACTAGTTGCTTATTCATTTTTGTAGCACCAAGGATTAGAAATGCCTGGCAAATTACAGGTCAATAAATGCTTCTTAGATTTAATTCTACGACTTACTTCTTACCCAATTATTTGATGCTAAAATATATATTGGAATGATACTGATGCAGGCACCCACCGTTCAGTAACATTTTCTGGCTAACCCATCTTTGCTAATACATAATCAATCCTTCCTAGGAAGGGTGACTTCTGCATTCTTCATGATCTCTTCCTGGCCTACCCAGACACGGTAATTATTCTCTAAGGCCCCAGACACTCAGAGAAGAAATAACATCCTGAAACACTTCCTTACACGCAACAGCATACAGTATCCTGATTTTTGCTGATCTCCCCATAACTTGTCATTTAATCAAAATTTCAACCATTAAAATTTAAACCAAATTAGACCTGAAATAGGTGAAGTGTTAGTATTACTGAGCCTTCTGAAAACTATCACAATCATATATAGAAACATTCAGAACATATTTTAATTTCTATGGGAAAACAAAGGAAATTAAAATCTTTCTAAGCGATAGCAAAGTCACAAAAGAATATATATAGAAAACCCGTTGCTTCTCTTGATATAATCTCCTAAAAGCCAACTTTCCTCCCACTACTTCCTCTGAAAAATACTACTTTAAATATACCAATGTTGATAACACCAGGAGGTATGACAAACATAAGTACCTCCTCTAGGTAACTGTTATGGGTTGAATTGGCCCCCCTCCCAAATACTTACCGAAGTCTTAATACCCCAGTATCTCAGAATGTGACCTTATTTGGAACTAGGGTCATTACAGAGGTAATCAAGTTAAATTCAGATCATTAGTGTAAGCCTTAAAGTGACTAGTGTCTTTATACTATAGGGAAATTTTGGTAGAGATAAATAAGCCCACAGGGAGAACATCATGTGAAGATGAAGGCAGAGATTAGAATGATACATCTACAAGGCAAGGAACACCAAAGACTACCAGCAAATCGCCATAAGCTAGGAAAGAAGCATGGAACAAATTCGCCCTCAGAAGGAACCAACGCTACTGACACCTTGATCTCGGACTTCCAGCCTCCAAAACTGGGAGGCAGTACATTTCTGTTGTTTAAACCGCCCCCTTTGTGGTACTTTATTAAGAAAGCCTAGGAAATAGGTCATTTTTCTCTAAATCTCTGATGAATTATCAAAACAAAATAAGCCATAACGAAAAAAGAAACTAAATAACAAACATGGCTAAGAAAATATTTTTAACATTTTCTATAAAAAGTACTAAAAATACAATCTTGAAATTGCAACTTCCCTGTAAGAAGGAATATTTTTAAAAATCAGAGCACAAAGGGAACATTTAAAAGGCAAATGGGAGCTAGAGAAAAGATAGAAGAACTCATTATTTGATTAAAAAAACTATAGCCTTCTATTAATTATAGAGCATTTCCAAGTGATTTTCCCCCCACAAAAATATTGGTAATACCATCAAGAACTTCAAGGAAAACCTCCCAGTTGCTGGAAATATTAATATCTTCTTCATATATATGGTAATCCAAAAAGACAGTGCCAGGATTCTTCCATGTTTTTTTCCTTAGACGAAACCTACAAATGTGATAAGACATTTTAAAGTACTATAATTTGAAATTCTTAATTTTAAAAAATGACATAAATCTGACATCAAGGAAAATTAATTATGCTTAAGTGAAATGGTTATTTATTAAAATTGGGGGAAAATAAAATAAAATGCTCCCAATACTTCAGATTTAGTAGTATTCTACAGAGGAAATTTAAATACAACTCTAGCACTTTTGCTTAGTTCTATTAAACTAATTTGCAGTGCTAAAATTCTGAATACTATAGGAATTTTTAATTCTTCTAATTTTAGAAAATCACACCAATCCATATAATTTGACACACGTTCTTTCTTCAAGTCACTAATTACACTGTGTTTTTACTTTACCTGTCAATACTGAGCTCTAAACCACATTGCTCCCTGAGTTGAGGAATTAATTCCTCTTTTGATTGCCGTACAGTCATTCCTTTAGCAAACACAGCATCTAGCAGAAACTTGCATGGCTAGAAACATAAATAATTAGAGCTTGAGTTATACATTAAAATAAGATTAACAAGACATTTTATTTACACTTTATACTGTGACAATTATGGGCCTCAGTTTAGGTGTCTAAGATATCTTCCTAGGTTCAAATCTTGGCTCCACTAGTTATTAACTTAGTTATCTTGAGTAAATTTACTTAATATTCCTGTGTCTCAGAGTTCTCATCTATAAAACTGGGGACAGTATCTTCCTCACTAAGTCACTGTAAAGATTAAAATAACAAATTCATATTTCCCTTTTTGTATTAAAGTGATAATTTTGAATGTAAAAAGAATCACTTTATGGACTAAAATAAGAGAAATACATACTAATTCTCCAAGTAACATTCATTAATTGTCTCAAAAGAGACATATAATATCCACAAGACCCGAATTTGGAAGAAACATATAAGTCAAAATGATTGTAATGGATCACATGTAAGAGATATGGTTGGTGCCCAATAAAATGTTTGTTGAATGAATAAAGTTATTTCATGAAAAATTTATCCTCTTATGTATTTTTCACATTTGTCTAGGTCCCCAATAAGATAGAAACATCATGAAAATAGGATCTTTGCCTTATTTTTCTGGTTATGTATTATAGGAACTAAAATATTTTATTGATTACTCCCCAAAACATAGCCTGGTTAGAACCTTAATCCACCATTTGCAAGTTTTATGACTTTGTGCAAGTTACTCAACTTCTCTGCCTCTATTTCTTCATCTATAAAATGGGAATAACATATAGTGGTTACAGACTTAAAAGATTTAATACTTGTTAATACTTGTAAGCCCTTAGAGTGCATAATAAACACTAGGTAAATGCTTGTTAAATATAAAATGATGCTCTGAACACAAAAAGAACCTATAAACTCTACAGGTAAAGTGCTATCCACCTGTAGCATTATACAAGCATTCCCAGAAAACAAAATACTCTTTGAAAAGCAGGAAATTTTTGCCTCACTCCAACGTTCGTAGCAACACTTCAGAGCAGAGGCACAACAAAAAATGACCTGACAGCAACATTCATCCCCTGCCTGCTTTTATAAAAAAAATTTTAGTGGGACAGAGCCACTTGCATTGGTTTTACATATAGTCTATGTCTGCTTTCGTGCTACAATGGCAGAACTGAGTAGCTACGACAGAGGCAGTATGGCCTGCACAACTAAAAGACATCCTAGAAGAAGTCTGCCCGCTTCTGCTTGAGAGATAAAAAGAAATGACTAGTAATAAAATTTCTGCATTGTATGTTTTTAATAACTAATAAAAGTGACCTTATCTTGCTCTTAAGTGTATTACTTACCTCTTGTTCATTGACCAGGAGCTGGTACACTTTAACTCTGTATTCTCCTTTTTTAAGTGCTCTCCCCAGTCTAATTGTAATCTATAAATTAAAAACATGTTTTAGATGTACTTTCTCAGCAGAACAAACAATCCATTCTCACCCACTGTTTGGCTTGTTTTCCCAAATTCTCTAGATAATGGGCTCTGAGAACAGATATATCTTTTACCTCTGATTCCCCAGCACCTAGAACAGTAACTGACACAGTTAATATTTAACATTTAGATGAATAAAAAAGCACCCAACAACAAATAACCACTAAACATCAAATTATCCATTTAGGGTGTCTAGTTCACCTTACTTGGATGTAGTACAAGATGTTTTCTTTTCTATCATTTAAAATACTCTTATTATTGAAAATTATTTTAATCAACCTTATTGTCCTCTGAAAATGATGAAAGTGTCTCATTCAGTCGGACGCTCTCAAACTCTTGATTGCTGGCATATACTCGAAAGACCTTGAAGTGAGAGGACAAAACTCCAACAAAGGGCTCTAAATGTTGTTTGAAAGCAGCCAGGGTAATTCTTTTATCAACATGCACCATCAACCCTAAGCACACAAAAAACAAAACATAAACAAAACTGTAAAAGTAACCTCTCAGGATACAAATAGAACAGATCGTATACTTTTTATTGTACTGTAAGCAGGAAAAAGCACCCTTTTCAATTATTTGACTTTTAGCTAATATAAAACATTAGATGGATAAAATACATGGACACTGAGTATATGATAGGTTCATCTGACAGCTTTAAATGTTCTGATATATTTAAGTGCTTATTTCAGCTGTTGAATCAAACACACATGTCCAGGAATTCTTTCCAAATAGGCATATTTCTAGTTCTACACAGTAAAGTGTGGGCTCTGGCTGGGTTCCAACCCTATCTCTTCTGCTTCCTTGATATGGAGCAAGCTGTCAGCCTCCGTACCACCATTTCTTCATTTGAAAAATAAAGATAATAATAGATGATAATAGTACCTACCTCATAGCTTTACAGTGAATTCAATGAGGTAGTATCGTTATCATGCTTTGAGCACAGTGCCAGATATATAGTAACTGCCTCTCCCGTGCTTCCCCACAATTTCTAACCTTTGCCTAAAGAGAAACTAGTTTTAATTTCTCCAATGCTCTTGCAGGGTTGAAAATGGTAAAAAAGCACAGTAGCTACTGGCTAATTTTTTTACTATGACGTTAGGAAAGTAAGGAGCAGTGGTAGTAGTTACGAGGTGGTAGAAGACACACTAGGCTTACAATCAGAAAACCCGAGTTTGATCCCAGTAGTGTGACCTACTAGCTCTGTGACTTCAGGCAAACTATTTAACCTATTTGAGCCAGTTTCCTCATCAGTGAAAAGCATCTACATCAATTTTATGCAGCTAATGAGAACTAAATGAAATAATGTAAGTCAATGAGCCTTACGAGAGAAAAAAACTCCACAGAAATTTAAAGCATTATTATAATAGAGTTTCTCTGTCTCCATTTAGGCCCACCAATTCACATTTTCTCATTTCAGTTTCTGCAAGTTGTATGTGTAAATGTCATGTTTCCAGTGTTATTTGGACCTACTTAGTTAAAAAAACAAAAGCACCTTTCCTTTCTCTGACTTTTTCAATTAGTTATGTACTTTTTAGGGTGTTGGAGGGGAGTTGTTTGCATTGGGGGATGGAGGAAAGGGAAGAGAAACAAACATTTTTCTGGGCATTGAGTACATTTGAGTAAAGCATTTTCTAGTGTCCTTTTTATTTTTTTGTATATTATTTACTTTGTAAACTATTTCATAATGCTTTATTTAGTATTTTTATCATAGTTATTTCCATTTTAAAATATTCTTTTTTAAAAATAACATCTTACCAGAGTCCTGACATCATTACTGTCAAAGGTCTAATGTGTTTCACAGGTCTAAGAATGCTGTTCCCTGTTCACTATAACTGCATCGAAAGTGAAAACTAAGGTGATAGGAATAGTCTTATAATCCAGGAAGTTACAGGTGGTCTTAGAACAAAGTACCTAACTCTTAGCTGATTTTTTAAACTAAAAGTTTAAATACACTGAGTATAAATTGATACTGTTTAAAGGATCTTTTTCCTTTTTAAGTACATACATTTATGTCCTTCCCCAGAACCTTCATCTGTAGCATACGGTTCCGCTTTGAAATACATGTACTGTATTTCTCCCCTACTCTTGCCACTTTCGTCATATTCACTATCAGTTCCAGAGTCTTCTTCTGCTGTATCCCATGTCTCTTTTTTTCCTTCATTTGCTTTAGTTCTTCTACTACTCGTGATGCTATGAGTGTCAAGTCCGTTAGCCAAAGGGATTTGAGCATTATCTGCATTGCACAAAGTGTCACTGCTATGACTAGAGCTAAGAATATCACTGTCCACTGAACTTGTACTCCGGTCATTATTCACATCCGAGTCTGATCGTTCTTCAGACTGAAAATTTTCAGGATCAGACGTCTGAAGATGCTGTTCGAGTTCTCTATTATCCACCGATGTAGAAGAGTCTCTCTCATTAAGAGGTGATTCAATGTTTTCAAAGTCACTCGTCTCAGTACTTTTGCTGCTGTCCCCATTATCTCCATCTTGCTGCTGCTGCAGTGACAAGCTTTTGAGTTTCTCAGTGCTTTCTTCTAGAATGGCTTCCACAGACTTTAGGTTCCCCACAGGTCCTTTGACTCTTTCACAATCATCATCCACATTACCAGAATCACCCCCCGCTTTCTGGTATGCTGTCCTTTTGGAATAAGATCCTGGGGATTGCTCAGGTAGCAAAACAAATAATCTGATTGTATTTGCATGCCGATCCAGGAGTTTCCACAAATGAGAATCGGTAAAGGCCATCTGGTAATCCAAAGTTTCAGAACTTTCAACAAACACCTAAATAGTAAGTCAAAAGAGTTATACTGCATCATTAGTTATAATGCATCATTAATTTTAGTGACATTCTCATTCATCATATCATGTCAATACCAGACAGTGCATACATAATAAGTGATACATTTTGGGATGATAATGCTTCTAAAAGACATATGCATGGTTTTTGGGATTATACAAAATAAATATTGTTCATATGTATTTACAATTAGCTATAAAACTGTGCTAAGATAAGAGATGGACACACACATGCAGGTATCTTATTTATTGGGTTGTCCATTTTCAGGAAATTTCTGTATCCATATCTTGCTCTTTAGGAAATCAAAGCTTAGCATGAATATAGATAGAGGAACATGTATAAAGATATCTTGGGAATGCAAGGCCAAAATCCAGATTACAGAAAAAAAAATCTAATCGACAAATGATTTGATTCTATAGCAAATTAATTACAAGGAAACAATAAAAATAGACTTGAGAGAGATATTATGAACTTTATTTGAATCCTGATTTGAACAGACAAATCCTATTGAAAAAAAATTGCTATAAGATAATCAGGGAAATTTGAATACTTACTAGATATATATTGGTTGATATTAAGACATTTCTGTTAATTTTTTAGGTGTAATAATGTAATTATAGTTATGTTTTTAAAAAGAGTTCTCATCTTTTAAAGATATATGTTTGGATTACTTAGATGAAATGATATGATGCTAGGGATATTTTTTAAATAATCTGGAAGAAGTAGGTAGTTGAATATAGATGAAATGAAAATTGATAATTATAGAAGCTAGATGATGAGTACCTGGGGTTCATTACACTATTCTCTCTACTTTTATGTATGCTTGAAATTTTCCATAGTAAAGCTTAGAAAATGAAATGCACATATATAAATTGGCAATTATGAATAGTGTTTTGAGTTTTGCATAAAAATATAACTATTACTCAATAAATGTTACACATCAGGACTAACAGTTAACCATTTAAAGAAAAGAAAAATAGATCTCTCCCACTCCTTACCCTAAACCAATATTAAGGTAGATTAGAACTTTTAATGTTACACACAAATACACCACACAAAAGTATTAAAAGAAAATACAGGTAAATAAAAATTACAATTGGGTTAATCAATAATACTAAAAATGGTTAAATGAGATAAAAAAAATCAAGAAAAATGAGCCTGAAAAAGGTGATAAATAAAAATGACAAACAAAGAAACTTGAATACAATTTATCCAGAGAAAACCAATGGCATTAGAAACAAATACATAGGAAAAATGATAAATAATGAAATGCAGAGTGACATCAAGAGATGAAACAAAAGCATCAATATGAACTTTCTCATTTTTAACAGAGATAAATGAGTAAGCAAAGAGTGAAGCCAATATGATAATTTTCTCTATACTAGGCATGCCTCTGACTTTCACAATGAAGTATGTACTACTTTATGGGAGAAGCTCAAGAATGAATAAAATTCAGAGGACATAATCATTGTGGACAAAAATAGTCATGAAGGCTTCATCAAAGAGGCAGAACTAATCGGGGGCTTGAAAAAGTGTAGGGAGAAGAGAAAGAACACTCCAGGTGGGCGAAGCTCATGATCAAGGCAAAAAGGAGAATCAGCAAGACTAATTCAAAGGACAGAAAGAAGTCAGATCTGACCTGACTACAAAGGATATCACTAGAGGTTGAGCTTATAATATTAAAACTTAATTTCATTTGCTATTACCAGCATAAAAAATAATAATGAAAAAATAAGAGATACCTTGTTACTTCTAAAAAAACCTTCGGCCTTCAGGGTTTTACTAGGCACAGTGAGAAGACGCAAATCATTGTAGCTGCGTTCCAGCACTATTCTCATTGTTTCAGCAGGTAAATGGATAGCCTATAATGAAAGCAATTTAATTTAAAAAAATACTCTTTCTGTTTAACTTAGAAATATGAGAAAACAAGACAATGCTGAGTTCTTAAAAACAGCAGAAAAAAATTACGAGAAAAATAATCTTGGTAGATATTTAACATCTTTTAAAAGAATCTATGGAAAATTACTAGTCTCATCCATTAATTAGTCTATAAATTAGGAGAACAAAGGATACCTTATAAATGCATGCTCTGAAACTATTTTAAAGGTTAATGATTTTTCACTAAAAATTCTATTCCTCTCAAACTCAAAGTAAATAAAGAAAATTGATTCCCAAGAAATAAAATAACTGACTCTTTGAGAGCTGATGTAAATTCAACACCTTTTTTGTTCAACTTTTTTTTAAAATATTTTTATTGATTTCAGACAGGAAGTGCCAGGGTTCTTATCCCAGCATCAAGAAGGGTTCAGGAATCTGGAAAAGGCGCTGTGCGTAGATGACATAGGAATCCAGAGACTAATAAAGAGTCCGGAGACGAAATATAATTTTGAAAGGCATTGGGGGTCAGAGGACCTTCAGCTAAAGGAACTGAAGACTCCCTCCTTGTCTAGGACCCTTGCTTGTATTAACACAATTTGTCCTAAGGCAAGGTGGAGATAATACACTTTAAAGGGTAAGGTTTCAAAAGGTACAGAAACATTGTCAGTTTGGGGGAATTAGCCTATGGCTGTTCAGTTGTTTGGCCAGTAGGAGGCAATAACATGTAGATTAAGATGTCCTTTAACTGTCTGGCAGCCACAATCAGTTTCCTATTCAGGTTTGGAAAAATGCCTTTAGCCATTCCCAACAGGTGACTATGTATGACTCAACCCTGTTGAGTTCCCAAGTCTCATCAACCTTTTGATGAAACTCTTGAAATTATGACATGCTGGAATTGGTTCCCGGCAAGGAAGGGAGAGGGAGAGAGATAGAAACATCAATGAAGAGAGAGAATCATTGATTGGCTGCCTCCTGCACACCTCCTACTGGGGATTGAGCCTGCAACCCAGGCATGTGCCCTTGACTGGAATGGAACCTGGGACCCTTCAGTCCACAAGCCAAAGCTCTATCCACTGAGCCAAACCAGCTATGGCTTGTTCGACTTCTTGACTTTTGATGGGTTCTTTTCTATTCTGTGAATAGTTAATAGTTTTACTAAATCAATTTTTTTCTGTGTAAAATGAGATTTAATAAATTAGGTAAAATTTAAAGTTATTTTAGAATTCCATATCCTTAATTTTTGATGTTATTTTATGAATCTCACATAAAATGAACAGATCAAAATAATTTACATTTTAAAAAATATAACTGGTTTTCAATACAACAAATGCTAACAATTCTTAGGCAGTCTAGTTTAAACACTGTATTTCTTGGCACAATGTTTTGTGACTGCTTTATCCTCTATAAACATATTTTTCCCCAGCAAATTATTAGCTTCTTAAGGAAAAGGAATGTTGTGTGTTTCTTTTGTATTCTACTTCAGTACTTATACTTTAGATTAAACTGTAATACAGAGCAATTACAGTAATGTAGTCTTTTATGAGCAATTTAATAATTAAATATGGCTTTACAATATGATTGGTTTTCTTTGTTACTCTGACAAAATGTTAGAAGTCATTGTTTTTTTAACATAATATTTAAAATCCAGCTTTTATATATAACTTTACAATTTTTTTTCACAAAGCACTTGTTTGTTTAATTAACATTTACAACAACCTGTTAAAAGAAACCCCAGGTGAAATAAAAGACAAGGTTAATATAAGATGAATGACTGAAAACTGAACTCAACTTCTTCACTTGTGACTGCTATACAATTTCCACTACACCAAGGGATCTTAACTTGGAGTTTAGAAACCCTGCAATTTTGCCTGTGTTTGTGTGCTCAGTGGTCGATAGAGTACAGGAGACTTGAGAGGGGTGTGGGGGGGTACAGGAAGAGACTGGATAAAAATCGTACACCTATGGATGAGGACAGTGGGGGAAGTAAGGGCAGAGGGTGGGGTGGGAACCGGGTTGAGGGGAGCTATGGGGGAAAAAAGAGGAACAACTGTAATAATCTGAACAATAAAGATTTAATTAAAAAATATATATATATTTAAAAAATTAAAAAATAAAATAAAAACCCTGCATGAAATAACTGAACTTACATTTTTAGGCATGTATTTTACAATGATCCATCCAAACACACATGTCATTGTTTACATACTTGCCTCACACTTTCTTACCTCGATACTTTGGTCAATCTGTTTTTTCTATTTGAAGTGTCCCTCTGTCCTAACTATAGTTGTCTCCTAGCTATAAATACTGGTTCCCTAAAGTAAATACTGATTCCTATATCTTACTCATAACTATATCACAAAGTGCTCTGTACAGAGCAAGCACTCAACAATAGTCACTAACCAATTTTAAAACTTACCTTTGAAATAAGTTGTTTGAACTCTGTAACTGTTTGATTTAAGTAAGCACGAACAGTGACAGGTGCAGCTACAGATTCTGCCTTTAGATCAACAACATGAACTTTCACCATCACTTCTGTCACATTTGAAAAAAATAAAACATAAGTGGAGGTTATTTTTAAAAATGTATTTCACATGAATAATGAATTTTTACTATGTTTCTAATAGATGGTAAAGATAACATTTGTTCTAGTTATCAAAATGGTAGATGTATAATGTTATACATGTATAACACATGTTAAAACTTCTTTCACAATTTGTCACTTTACAAGCAAACATATAAAAAGATATAGAAAAGAGCCTAATAAAAGTTCTAGATCTCTTAAAAAATGACAAAAGTAAAAATGTGGTTTTTAAAAATACATGCTTTGTTTCCTTATAAAACATAACAACACTGTCAAATTTATTAAGTAAAGTATATACCCAAAATTCCAAAATACAGACCCAAACCACAACACTAAATAAATATAAATAACTAGAAAATGCAAAACAAATAGTAAAGGGGACACAGCAGACCTACTTGCTGTTGAACAACCTTCATTAAACCATTCAAGACCTTGTCTATAATCAAATAGTATTTTCTATATCCTATGAAAAAGTCCTACAGAAAAACTGTTTTGGTTTAAAAGTTTTTTTTCCACTTAAATTCTTCATATTACAATTTTTTAAAATATATTTTTATTGATTTTTTACAGAGAGGAAGGGAGAGAGATAGAGAGTTAGAAACATCGATGAGAGAGAAACATCAACCAGCTGCCTCCTGCACATCTCCTACTGGGGATGTGCCCGCAACCCAGGTACATGCCCTTGACCGGAATCGAACCTGGGACCTTTCAGTCCGCAGGCCGACGCTCTGAGCCAAACCGGTTTCGGCTTCATATTACAATTTAATCCCATCTTCTCTGCTTCTGTTTTCAGATCACATATAACTAAACTTTTAATCATCAGAAAAATAAATGATCTTCAAACAGTACATTTAAGATAGTTATTCTCTAGCTTAAGTGATTTAATCTCTTGTATGTAGTTTATGTCAATCCTCAATTTTTCCCATGTTGCTAATCTAAATCTGATAAAATATTCTGAAGTCTTGATTATTAATGAACTAGAGGCCCAGTGCACGAATTCGTGCACGGGTGGGGTCCCTCAGTCTGGCTGGTGATCAGGCTGATCAGGGCTGCGGGAAGTTGGCCAGGGGGAGGGGCTGCTGGAGGTTGGCTGTAGGAGCACACTGACCACCAGAGGGCAGCTCCTGCTTTGAGTGTCTGCCCCCTGGTGGTCAATGCGCATCATAGCGACAGGTCGTTCGGTCACTTAGGCACCTATACCCTATACCCTATACCCTATACCTATACCTATATATACCTATACCTATACCTATACCTATACCTATACCTATACCTATATCTATAGATAAAGGCAATTAGCTAGCCTGGCCAGTGTGGCTCAGAGGTTGAGCACTGAAGTCCCTGGGACTTGCAGAAATGACGAGGATGGAGAAAAATAAAACATGTTGGCAGTGCCCAGCTGGTGTGGCTCAGTGGTTGACCGCCAACCTAAGGAGGTCTAGGTTCAATTCCTGGTCAGGGCACATGCCCAGGTTGCTAGCTTGATCCTCAGTAGGGGGCATGTAGGAGACAGCCGATGAATGATGCTTTCTCATCATTGATGTTTCTATCTCTCTCTCTCTCCCTTCCGCTCTGAAATCAATAAAAATATATTTTAAAAAATGTTGACAATGATTGATTATGAAACCACCTTTTCAAGGAGACTCTAAAAAACACTCTACCTGTAAGACTTTATGGAAATAAACATTTTTTGGTCCAGGGTCTTCTTGGTAAATAGGGATGGGGGAAGGGAGGACTATTCAATACTGAAGAAGAAAAATCCCACTGGACACAGTAAACCAGAAGTTTAATTTTTTTTTTTTTAATTTTGTGTCTATCTTCTTGAAAGCAATCAATAATTTAATTCCTAGCTTTATGCTGACTACTTCCCAACCCATCTCATTTATTTTAAGAACATATAAAATATTTTTAAGAACATAAAAAATTAAATTTATTTCTACAAACAAAAAACTTTATGAAAAATTTAAGTCCAGTACTACTCAAAATACTGCAAAATTCCTTACCCCCAGGTTTATAAGATTGAAAAACTTGATCAGGTTTTCTTGTCTCCAACAGCAGATCAAACATATATGTTGACTTGACTCCACCTAGTAGAAGTCCCATTGGTGTGTCTTCTTCTCCTTCATATGATCTTTCAAGATAATCATGAAACTCATCATATTTAACAAGGCGACAACAATCCACAGGTATTACCTCTTCCAAATCCATCATCTAAAAGAAAACGCCCCCCCAAAAAAATATTTTAGTCTGATGTGTAATTATACTCACATTTAGAGCTCTCTTTTACAACATCTCTTAATAGGTCCTAACAGACAATAAAATCCATGTTTATGATTTGCATCAAAGCTCAAAGAAATCAAAGTTAAAGACACAAGTTAAACACTATCCTAATATATAGCGAGCCAGGATCCGTAACATCCAATACGACCAAACAGACGACCAAATGCCAGGCTGTGTGTGCAGCAGGCTCAGGTGGGCGGGGACTGGTGAGCAGGCTGAACTGCTGACCTCTCGGTCCCTCCTGGGTCACGGGCGCCATGGCAAGCCAGCACTGACTGCGGTTGCCACAGTGACCTAGCACTGACTGCCACTGCTGTGGGCGCTACAGCAACCCAGCACTAACTGCCAAGGCAGGTGTAATGCGATCGGTCGGGGGGGCCCCACCATCGCCCCACAGAGGGAGGCCCAGGCCACCGCCCAGCAGCGGTGGGGGGGCCTCCCTCTGCAGGGCGATCAATCGCAGGGCACCTGGACTGTTAGAGGGTGCAGGCCAGGCTGAAGGACCACCCCCCACCCCCGCCGAGTGCACAAATTTCGTGCACTGGGCCTCCAGTCCTATATAATAAAAGCCTAATATGCTAAATGTCTGGTCAACCTGTTGGTTGTTCAACCAATCAAAGTGTAATATACTAATGATATGCTAAGGCCGCTCAACCGCTTGCTATGACATTCACTGACCACCAGGGGGCAGGTGCTCTGACCAGGTTAGCTTGCTGCTGAGGGCCAGCAGGGAGGGACTGAGCTAGATGGGCCGGAGACGCCCTGGAGCCCTCTTAAGGTCCCTCCCCAGCTGGCCAACCTCCTGCATCCCCAATCATGCACTGGCGGGGTCCCTCGGCCTGGACTGTGCCCTCTCGCAATCCGGGACACCTTGGGGGATGTCAGAGAGCTGGTTTCGGCCTGATCCTGCAGGCCAGGCAGAGGGACTACCCACTGGTGCATGAATTCGTGCACTGGGCCTCTAGTCCTATATAATAAAAGCCTAATATGCTAAATGTCTGGTTGACCAGTTGGCCGTTCAACCAATCAAGGCTAATATGCTAATGATATGCTAAGGCTGCTCAACCGTTCACTATGACATGCACTGACCATCGGGGGGCAGACATTTGACTGGTTGACCAGTCGCTATGCCGTGCACTGACCAGCAGGGAGCACAGTCGACCAGTCGCTATGACGTGCACTGACCACCAGGGGGCAGACGCTCCACTGGTAGGTAGCTTGCTGCTGGGGTCCAGCCGATTGGGACTGAGCGAGACAGGCCGGACACGCCCTGGAGCCCTCCTGTGGTTCCTCCCTGGCTGGCCAAACCCCCGCATCTCTTCCCAGCCCCGATTGTGTACTGGTGGGATCCCTCGGCCTGGCCTGCACCCTCTCGCAATCCGGGACCCATCGGGGGATGTCGGAGAGCCAGTTTTGGCCCTATCTCACAGGGGGAGTGCTGGTCAGCCAGAAGCCGGTCTCATGGCTGGCAAGAGCAGTGGCAGTGGTGGTGGTGGGAGCCTCTCCCGCCTCTGTGGCAGCACTAAGGATGTTCGATTGATGGCTTAGGCCCGCTTCCCTGAGGGCTCCCGGATTTCGAAAGATCGCAGGCCGGGCTGAGGGACTCTCCCCGCTGAGGGCACGAGTTTCATGTACCGGGCCTCTAGTTTTTAAATAATCACATTTCATTATCCCTCAAATCATACAACCTATGCACTAATATATTTTAAAGACATTTTTTGTTTTAAAAAAGTTAACATTCTAAACTCTAGATGGACTCAAAATCAGGTAAAGAATAAATAAATATTTTTGTGAGACTTTCTCAAAAACAACTATGTTTCAAAGATTTAAATGGACTACCAGTGTGATTGCAAGTGCTTATACTACTATTGACTATAATAAAAATTTTGGAAAATATGTTAACACTATTATCTAAGATATCAATAATTAAATGCTAACAGTACAATTAAACTTACCTTGTAAGCCATTTCTACTGCTTCTTTTAATGTCTTATCCTTATGAACCTCCAATTTATTTTCCATCATGACTTGTTTCACAGGATGCAAACAGAACAGTTTTATCTAGAAATTGTAAAATACCATCATAACTCAGCAGGTCATGAGTCAAAGCTTAATTCTTTTTTAGATAGCATTTTTTCCTAATAGTAAAAAACTATAATTTTTTTTAAAAAACATACATTGGGATCATTCTCTCTGGTGTCTCTTTTTCTCACTTAATAACTGATAGTGATTATATTTAATATTATTAAAAATTGAAAGACATTAATTTTAACAAGTATATGTTTCTTTTTAAGCATATACTATCATATTATACATAATCATTCCCTTACTGATATACATTCAGGTTGTTTCCAATTTTTCCCTAGTTTTGAAAATACTGTGATCAATATCCTTGAGGTCACAATTCTACAGCATCTGCAATTATCTTATTAGGTATTATTTCCTTAAGAGAATTATATATAAAATAATATGAATTTACATTAAGACTTGATAAATTCCACTCAATATCTATGCAGAAAGTTTTACAAATTTATTCTTCTTGTAGCAGAATGTGACAATGCTCATCTTATTGTAACCTCACCAGCACTGAGTATTATTACTACGTTATTGTTTTTTTTAATGCATAACCTAAAATCTTATCTTACTTTAGTAATATGGTTGGTTATACTCCTTAATGATCATGATAGCATAGTTGTCTACAGAATCAACCCAATTAGTTAGCTATCAGAATTGCAGTTAAGCAAACTGCAATAGCACTTTTTAATTAAAAATAAAATTATAAAATCTAACCTTGCATGTGTTACGCTCGATTTCTCGTTGCCTCTTTTCTTGTTCTTCCAATTCTCTCTCTCTCTGCACCAAATTTTTAATATGTTCTGGATATTCATCTACTTCTAGAAATTCTATTAATAATTAAAACAGGGTAAGACAGTGCCACTGAAATTGAGCTTCCTTTATTTAATTTTGTTCTACTAGTTTTCCATTGTATATAATTCTATCACTCTCATCAAAATATATCTCAATTACATGAATCTCTCAACTTGAAACATGAGCTTCTTTTAGACAAGGGTAAAGAGGTAGTTAATAACACATGGTTACATCTCATATTTTAAAAAGTCATATATTTATCCATAATAGCATTTGGCTCCAGGCCAACTCTATGTAGATTAAGATTTTTAAAATAAAAAAGCTTCTCTGAAACTTGGAAATAAAACTATTTCTGATTTTAAATTGTATTATCACCATAAATTATGTGACCCTGTGTAAGCACTTCTCCAGACCCTGGTTTCTTCAGCATATTGCTAGCACCTAACTTATCATTATTACCTGGGATATAATAAAATGTAATAAATGCTATTGCTGCTTCTACTACTACAAATACTATTTATTTGTATATTATTCCCTATTACAATTATCATTCCTTTGTTCTCAAAGCAGTTTTTTAGCTGCCTTCTAATCAAAGAATTTCATATGTAACTCCAAGTATTAAAAGTGACATTATGAGACTATGACACTACTTAATAAAGCCAATGATTATTAAGCAATAAATTAGAACAATTTATATCTTAAAAATCATGCCTCTGTGGAAAATAAAAATCTACTGCTCTTCGAAATGAGCTCTAATTCTAAAAATATTCCAGATCATACATATAGCGCCCCCTGGTGCTTCATCACAAACCTAGAGCCCGGGAGTGAATAAAGGAAAGCTGTTATTTATTGCTCTATTGAAAATATCTGGAATGCTGGGTGCTAAAGAGACACATGAACCACAATCCTGGCTCTGCCTCCAGGTAGACTGGACAGTTACTTTTTGGGTTACATTGAATGATTACTTCTACTCTGAAATATTTGTTCTGAAATGATTTCTTGTTATAATTTCCTTTCTTTTCATTAATCCTACAGCAAATTATTGAAAAGCCACTATATGATAGACCCTGGATTATACTGTTGGTGAAAAGATGAATAAGTCCTAAGTCTTGAACCAACTGAATTCAGAATTTAATGAGGGTTTAAAAAATGAAAATAAAATATTATACTGCTGAAAATAGATTTACTCATGGCATGGAAGTTTCTAAATAAAGAAAAATGTTAAAATTAATGGGAGTGAATATGCTATTTTAATTATAAAAAGAATATAAGCAAACATATCATCTATGTATATAACTATGTTCATGTACAAAGATATATCTCTACCTATTTGCATACTGCTTTAGCAGAGTAAAAGTTAGCAAGAAAAATGAGGAACTGTAATTTTTCAAAGTAATAATTACAAAAAAGAAAAAAAAAAGACAACCCCACATGCTTTGTATACAGGATTATTTGGGGGAATTCTTAATAAAATTAAAATATAAAGGAGGCACACTAGACTCGTAAAACTTTACTTGCTTTTTAAGCAAATAGCAAAGACATTTAACTCTAGTTTTTAAGAATCTTTCTAGAGTGGTAAGTGAGAAGTTTACTTCATCTATGGTCCCCATGCAAAGCATATAGCTATGAAATACCCCCTAAAATTATAAAAGAAAAAAAAATAGCTACATTTGAGTTTTTACTATGTACCAGACATGATGTTAAATGCTTAAAATATGTTATCTCATTTAATTTTTTATACAACCTTATAAAATACAATTATTCCCATTCTACAGATGTGGAAAATAAGACTTAAAAAAGATAAATAACTTGGTCTGGGACATGCAGCTGCTGAGTTATGACTGCTACACAGGTCTGGAGGTTATCATCATTAAACCAAACTCCGTATAATACAATCTTACTGCAAATAAATACCTGGTTTATTCCATGCAGAGTAAGTTTTGCCCCTTAATGTAGTAAAAAACAAAAAACAAAAACAATACATTTTTTCCCCACATGTTTTTACCAGCTGGTATTATTTCACAATAGTCTTTATAATTAATTCTTCCATGCATAAAAAAACTTAATTATCCTATCAGTTAAAAGTGGTTATCTGGGTTTGAAAACTTGCTTAAGAAATTAGTTTATCCTACAGATTAATATCAAATAATACTACAGATTAAAAGCAAATTAATGTATGTTAACATACTTGCATTTCTTGTTGGATCCTTCAGTCTATATATCAGCATATATGCATTTGTGGAGCTAGTAGAAATACAAAAAAGATTAATAGGAACAAAAAGTAGATTGTAAAGACTCCATTTCCTAGCATCAAATATTTATTTAAAATATTTTTTGTTGTTTCAAACAATTAGAAATCATGAAACTGTTCTCGAATAGGTTCAAATTTAAAACATTCTAGAAAAAAAAATCTACTTTGCTTTTACTGATACATTTATGAGGAGATTCCATACCTCCTCTTGGTAACACAGTAAAGTCTTCAAAAAAATCTGTGTCCTAGAATGATTACTATAATTAAGTCAGGAGTCAGCAAACTTCTTCTGGGAAGGGCCAGATAATAAAAGTATGATCTGTGTTGCAATTACCTAACTCTGCTGAGGTATGGGATAAGATCAACATAAAATATTTAAGCAAATGATACGGTGATGTTTCAATAAAACTTCATTTCCAAAAACTGGAAATAAACTGGATTTGGCCCACCACTGGGTTAAACTTTCTTAATGGTGAAAAATACTGAGAAGCTGTTGTTAATTTATAGACACTAAAAATTACAAAGTTATTTACCTTGCAAAAGCACTGGAGTAATACCCTCTGCTTCCTGAAGATCCACCATGTGTTTTCTTAATGTCCTCTTGTGTTATCTAAAAAGTTGTCACATTATTAACTTTTTGGTAAAATTTATAATACCACTACCTTTATGGCAATATGTAATCCAATATATAAATTTTTAACCTCAGAGTTAAATGGACCACATGTACCAATTCACAAAGTTTAATCATAATCAGCAGCTGCTAGTGACCACTTAGTTCTAGTGCTCTCAAACAGCCCACATGAAGGCTCATGACAAGAGGAAAATTGGGAATCTATCTCTGGAAACATTGAGCAAGCCCCAAAGAAACAAAACCAAGAAATAACAACAATTAACAAAGCAAGAAATTTACTGAGAGCAAAAACAAAATATTATTTGCTATGTGTCTTAAAATGCTTCACTGTACACATCTAGTCTCCCATTTCAATAAACCCAGAGATTGATAGAAACATCCCTGCTCGTCTTTTAGAATAATAATCTCAAAAAACCCCTCCTTACCCTGCTGACATGTTGATCATTGAAGCTGTACCACTGATCATCACTGAATGACTTTATACAAGCATAATAGTGACCACCAGCAGCACTCCCTGAATGAACCATAACGGAGAAGAGCTCATAGATCAAGGAATTCTAAGAGGAAAAAATAAAGGTAACTCAAGAAGAGGAAAAACACTTATTTGTATATTTCCTATTCTCTATTAATACATAGTGAAGTAACATGTTAGTTGTCCTATATATTTATTGTAGGTTAATGTTCCTCTAAGATAATTAAAATGGCAATTCACCATATAATTTTATACACACAAGCTTCACTCAGTGTATTCCTTCATATTTTAATTATACTACAATCTCTGAAACTATGCATATAGAAATATAATTCATTTATGTAAAAAAGAAAACAATCTGAAATTTTAGAAGTGCCAAATAAAACACTATTCTATTATGCGGAGTCAAGATCAAGAAATTTCAAATAACTTTTTTATTCAAATAAGATTCAATTTCCTTTATAGAGGAGCTGAAGGATATAATGATTTGGAACATCTAATGTATTTATGTAATATCTATGATACAGTGATTACTGATTTGATAGCTCTAAGGTATGCAAAGCTGTTCAACATTAGAAAATCAATCTATATCAGCAATTTTCAACCTTTTCCATCTCATGGCATACATAAACTAATTACTAAAATTCTGTGGCACACCAAAAATATATTTTTTGCCAATCTGACAAAAAAAAAGTATGATGTTGATTCATTCACACCGGACAGCTATTGTTGTGTTGAATTCTTGCAGCACACCGTTTGAAACTCGCTGATCTATGTAAACCACATCAAAGAAGGGAAATTACATGATCATATCAACTGACCCAGAAATAGCATTTGACAAAAATCCAATACCCATCATGATAAAAAACTCTCAATAAACAGGAAGAGGGGAACCTCCTTAAATTGATAAAGAACATCTACAAATCACCTCTAGCTAATACCATAATTAAAGATGAGAGACTGAACATGTTCCTCGTGAGACTAGGAACAAGGCTAGCATGTCATTTGCCACCACTCCTATGCAACACTGTAAGGGAAGTCCTACCTGTTTTAATAAGACAAAGAAAAAAAGAGAAAGACATAATTGTCTATGCAGAAAAACAGGAACAGGGTTTTTTTGCTCTAAAGCCACAGTGTGTCAACCCTTGCTTGAATGTACTGTTCTTTGTACTAAATTATAATGTGTCCTCTACATTATTCATTTCATCTATGTCCTGAAAGAAATAGGTAAGTTTAAAAGGTAAAGGGTAATGGTGGTGAGAATATAGGTCTTCATCTAAAAATAAATTTATGCAAGTGAAACTCCATTCTCAAATACTGCCTAAAAAACTATATATATAATATACATGACTCTAAGACTGCGTTAGTGACCAGTCTTCATGCCAGTGATTCATATTTACACCATGCCTAAGATATTTGATCTGTAATTCTCTCCTCAATAAAGCAGATTATATGACTGTGAAAGAAATGTTTGATTAAAAATCACATACACAGTGACAAAAAAATTCTAACCTAGAGATTATTCAGCTTTTCAATTTTAAAATTATAACCCATGGAACTATAATATTTTTGAAGTACCTTAAGGGCTATCATGGAGGTGGGGGTGGGAAGAGGAAGGAGACTGAGGGCTTTGTCTTTCCCCCACCTTAAAAAGATCAGTTCTATTATTGTTTGATAAAGGGTTCCACAGCCCGCATTTTAAAAATCAAAAGACCTAATGTTTTCATTTTGCTATATGAGAAAAGTCTGAAGATGTAAGATGTAGAGGCTTGCTGCAACTTTCCAGACAGAAGTCCTGATTACTAGGACCCTTTCCACAGCATCACCCACCTTACTTACATAATCACAGTTTAGCCTCCCAGAAATCAATGCTCCCACTGTAAGTTTTTCACAAATTTAACTATAACCACATAAATGCATAAAAAAATGAACACCTTAAAAAGTCTTTTCAAAAATTAAACTTTGTTTAAAGAGAACTTTCTCAGTCACACAGCTACCACATTTTACATATATATAGTATATATCACCTCAGAGATTTCTCTCTTTCAACTAAATACCGCAAACTATAAAAGGCACCTTTTCAAGACCAGGTTTTGAAATCTTTTCAGTTCCACTATTGTTTTCAAGGCAGATCCCTTCATCAACACCATCATCATTGGAGAAATCATTGCTCATTTGATCACTGTGACAACTGCCTTCGTTTTCTGCTCCACTGTCAGTGCAACTTTCAGTCTGAGGAGATTTCTTAATAAAACATAATTATCTTACAATAGCAAACTAAATAAAGGAAAAATATATAGTCAAGTAAAACTTTTTTCTACATGCTGCTTTTTTCACATAATTTAATATACTGTTAATAAATACTTATTTTACTTTAAGTAAATTTAGTTTTTCTTAAAAAGTGAGACAAAAAAATAAAATGAACAAAAAAGTGTATTTTAAAAGCATTTATATTAATGTCCTTAAAATTCTAATTCAACAAATTAGTAATTCAAAATTCTAGTAAACTCCTTTTATGCTTATAGTTGTAAAGTAACAATAAAAAATTTTTTCACCAAAATCAATAAAAGCAGAGAACCTAAACTCCAAAACGAGCTTCTTCTGTTTTCAAATTCCCAAAGAACATCATCTCTTTTATTGAACAGAAAGTTCCATATCATTGTGCTAGGTATTGTACTAGACAATTAGAAAGAAAAACCAGACATTGTTTCTATCCTCAAGAATTTTATACTCTAGTGTATAGGAGGTGGAAATGTAACAAGAGCAAATCATACTTTTCCCTGCTTTTATGATTTTTAAATCCCTTTCATGCATATTTAAATGGAAGAATCTACTTCTTAGAAATCCTCAATTTTTACCCCTTTCCTTTAATATTTATATACATACCTAAAAATATTTTTATTTAAATAACTTAAGAATTCTTCTCTAAGGTATCGCATAGAAGTTCTTGAATTAACCAAGCAATCTATAATAATAAAAGTGTAATATGTTAATTAGACCGGACCACCTTCCGGATGAAGCCAGGGCTGTGAGGGAAGCCCAGGTCCCGGGTGCCTGCCAGCGGCTGGAGGGAAGCCCGGGTCCCGGGTGCCAGAGGGAAGCTAGTACCAGCAGCCAGGGGAAGAAAGGCCTACTCTTGCACGAATATCGTGCATCGGGCCACTAGTATAAAATAAGCACCAATTTTGCCAAGAACTTTGCTGCATCTAACATAGTCTTCATCCCTTTAGTTGGTTCAAGGAAAAATGGAGGTGAAAACCAACATTAGAACTCTATACTAAGTCAAAAGAGATCATTCCTGAAACTCCTTTACCTAAGCCAGAACATCTCTTTCTTCTCCCAAGAAATGGACTTAGAACTTCCTAAAAGTTCCTGTCAAACTTTATATATAGGTTTTCTTCCCTTGGGAAAAAAAATTCCCTTTTAAGAAATATATTAGGAACATGCAGAAGACCAAAGTAATAATGATCTCTGAGTAGGAATCCTACAATGATTACACCTCCTTTGAAAGTTTGGTATACTCTGAGTAGATTTCCTAGCTTAAGCACAAGTGCTTGAGATATTATTTTAAAATGAATCTTTCAAAATGTTATTTGGTCATAGGTATCATTCAATGAATATTTACTTTATCAAAGGTGCTTTCTTCTCACTTATTAGCCTTACTTTACAGACAAGGAAAGTGAGGCTCAGAAAGGTTGCTCTTTTGTGCCACACTGCCTCTTAGTTTTTAACAGCACTCAATACAATTTGATGAATGTTTAAAATTATTTTTGAGCTTCTGGGGAAAGATATTTTTATAATTACAGTAATCAGTTCCAATCAGAAAAAACATGCTTCATGACAGTTTTGAGAATAAAGATTTATCACTCTTACAACTATGTTAAGTAATTGTAAATATTCCTCATAATGAAATATTAAGAGTTTACAAAAAAAATATAGTGGGACAGCCCTGGCTGGGTAGATCAGTTGGTTGGAGCACCATCACAATATGCCTGGTTGTGGGTTAGATACCTGGTTGGGGCACATACAAGAATCAACCTATGAACGCATGAATGAGTGGAACAACAAATCAATGTTTCTCTCTCAAATTAATAAATAAAAGTTTTTAATAAAATGGTCTTATTTGGAAAAAACAAAAGATGGATTTAAAAAAAATGTAGTGGGACAACATGAATCTTTTACTAGATAAGGAGAAAGAAATCAGAGAATTCGAGGTCAATGAGTGGAAGAAATTGAAGAGCTTTACCTGTGTAGTTCAAAGTCCCATTCTCAAACTATTTAAATAAAGTTTTAATTAAAAAAAACTAATTAGAAAAGGAAAAGAGACAAAATACCTTCCTTTTCTAGCTTCCTAATCTAGCCAATTTAAGAGCAAGCAAACCTTAAATGAGAATAACCCAGAACCCTTAACCCTGAAAAAGACACTAAGACAAATAAGAAATTAAGGCCATCCTATTTAGTTTCCTTGTTTATTCATTCATATATACTTGTTCTGTGTTTTTTATGTACCACAAATGCAGCTCACCTCTAAATTGTTTTTTCAATAACTAAGAAAGTTATGAAACATAAGATTATCTCTCCAATTAAAGAAATAATTTCAGAGTTTTAGGTCTTCTTGTTTTTTCAAATGATAAGTTACTTTGGTCAAGCAAGAATATTAGAAATATAATTTATGGTGGACAGGAAAAGCTTATACAAAGTTAGTTTTTATAGACTTGGCATTAGAAAATAAGGAAAGGCTTCCATCAAGAAAATAGTCTGAACATCAGTGTTGAAGTTATTCCAAATAGCTCTTTTAAACATGACTAACCAAATGGATTAATGAAAAACATAACAAGAAAATATAATACTTACCTCATCTTCTACATCAATAAATGTACTCATATCCAGCTCTTCAGGAAATGTCATCCGATCATTCAATTTAATCCTGTGCATGGTTGTATAATCAAAATCAAACCTTTTCAATTGTAAGGTCAGCAGATAAGGGAAATGCAAAAACCGAAGACCCTAAAAAGAAAAGGGGACATATTAAATATTGACCGTTATCTCAGGTAATTAAATATTAATTTCTACATGACATCTACCTTTCGTGCATCACACTTCTTCTTACAACGTTCACAAAAATATTGATTTGGGCCATCCAGGATCTCTGGCTGAATAAATGCATGCAATGCTTCTTCCTAATTAGAAAAAAAAAATTGTTTCATAATTACTTAATGATGTTATAATACTAACGACAAAATCCTGAATATAAAAACAGTGCAACCCCCCCCCCCCCAAACAAGGAAAAACAACAACAACAGTGCAATTACCAAAACACTTATAAGTAGAATGGCTAGAAAATTAGGAACTCAAAATGCAAAAAGGAAAATAAAATCAACAAAATGTTATCATTATAAAAACTGAGAAATAATATAAATTCTTATTTCATTCTGTATGAGATCTGCCTTTCCTAGCACTGCACATCAGTTAGTCATTTCTACCTAATTGTTATTGTCCTTACATTTTGGTGTTTGCCTAAATAATCTAATAAAAATCCTCAGTCTTTAGATTAAAAAGTAAACCAGCTCTGGCCAGTGGCTCAGTGGTTAGAGTATCAGCCTGAGCACCAGAGGGTTGTAGTTTCGATCCCTACCCTGGTTGGGGGCACATGGAGAAGGCAACCAATTGATGTGTCTCTCTCACATCAATGTCTGTCTCTCTCTCTCTCTCTCTCTCTCTCTCTCTCTCTCTCCCTCCCTCCCTCCCTCCCATCCATCCACTCTCTAAAAAATCAATGGAAAAAATATCCTCGGATGAGGATTAACAACAAAAAAAGTAACTACATACTTCTTAGAAAAGCAGTTATATGTATCATTTCAATATTCTTATGAGACATTTTTAAACTTACAGTAAATAACACAGAACTCTGAATATTTGACACTACCCATACACTTAAAAAATGTAATAATAATAATCTGAATCACTATATTTTGAGTCAATCAGTAATCCACCACTGCACTAGTGTGAAGGCTGAAAACCATTGTGCAATCTTCTCACTGCATGTCAGATACTGCTCCGTTTGAAAGTGTATGAGAGCTCCTGGGCTGTTCACCTAGTGTACCAGGTGGTTCTCTTTTCTCCATACAGCCTTAAGACAGAAGTAAGAAACGTAGTATGAATACTGCTGAAGAATTTGTGGGCATTAAATTAATTTTTAATCAATAATTTTTCACAATCAAAAAATGAATTTTAGTTAATACAACACATAAGACTGCATAACCTCAAATTTCATTTGACATCAGAACTACTGACAATACATATTTATTACACATAAAGAAAAAGTGGAATTATTAAGATGAAGTGTTTTCAAATATTTGGTGTTCTTCAAAGGACAGATAAAGGAGCTTGATCTGGCAAAATGAACTTAGTTTAAAATAGCTGGCAGAGCTTATAAAACTACTATCCACATATTGTTTGATCTAGCTCATTTTGGAATAAGATCAAGGCTATGAAAACATATTCAAAATGCTTCTAACTTCATTTATCTTCTAGTTGTTCTCAAAAACACAAGGAAGACCACAGCTGGGAGGTGGGGGACAGGGTTCTGAAACATGACCAAGCATTTTACTGGAAGGCATAAGAAAGAACACATTTAGAAAATGATTTTTTTCTCTAAAGCATATTTTAAGCATAAAAAGGCAAATTTTATAAAAACATGAGAATAAAAGAAGCTTTCAGAGTATTACAAACATAGCTTAACATAGAATGACATCAAATTTGTTGTTTTCCAAATAGAGGTCATTTGAATTGGTAAAACACTCAATATCTAAAAATAAAAAAATCAGAGCAGGGGTAGGGGGATAAGAGGTGGAGGGAGAGTGAAAAATTATCTCACTCAAATTCTACCGTACTAAACTAAACTAAGGTATGTATTGTGTGTATTGGCTAAGGTATGTGTATATTGTTCTCTGCCTTATAGTTTATACCTAAAGTTTATCTTTTTTTAAAATTTAAATTCAGAGAAAAGTTTAAAGAATAGAAAATTCCCAGTAACTATTTACTCAGACTGTCCAGGCTTTCATCCCACCCACATATATATTTTTCACTACCATTTGAGAGTAGGTTCACATATCATGCTTTTCCTCTTAATACTTCAACGTGACTTTTTAAGAACAAGAATATTCTTAGTTCTCAAACTCAGAAAACTATGATAAAGTGCTTTTGTCCGTCCACATTCCAATTCTATCAATTATCCTAATAGAATTTCTCTGCTTCCAGTACAGAATGGAATCCAGGATCACAAATTGCATGTGGCTAACTGCCTCTTCAGATTCCTTTTTTTCTGGAATAGTCTTAAAGCTTTTCTTTCATGACATTAATATTTGTTTTAGAGGCCAGTTATTTTATAAAATGTTCCGCAGTTTGGGTTTCTCTGATGTTCCTCATGATTAGATTCAGATTATGCATCCCTTTCTAGACTACTAAGTAAGGATATGTCCTTTTAAGGGTATCACAGTCCCAGGCCATGTCCCTATCCTTATTGGCAATATTATGAATTTCAATCAATGTCAGAGTGCTGTCCATTTTGTCCACTAGTTATTTTTTTCCACTTGAAACTAATAAGAAATCTGTAAGGAAACTCTTGGAGACCAGGCACAAATCCTGAGCCTTAAACTTTTCACCCTAGATTTAGCACCCACTAATGCATTCTTGCTTAAATCAAATTTTAATGTTTGCTTTTATGAGCAACTTGAAAATCTTTTTAATAGGCCATTTAAGTCCATTCATATTTGATATGACTGATGTTTCGTTTCATTTCACTATTTTATAATTACTGTATTAAGTAAATTTACTGTGTTCCTTTATGTGTGTTTTCTGTGCTGTTTTTACAATTTCTTTTGGTATTTAGGGAGGTTAGCTATATTTTTGTAGTGCATTATACTTTTGTTATTACCCTTAATTCTATTTTCCCTTTTTTCTTACTTACACTTGTAGTGTCTAGTCTGCCAGTAATATGTGGTACTCTTGTGTTTCCACCTATTCAACAGTCTATGATCTTTCCCTTTCTCTCCCCTTTTTTAAGAATGGCATTCTGTATACTTTGTCTAACATTTCATACCATTTTTCTACCCAGTCCCCATCCTTTTAAAATTTCGTCCTTATTTCTAGTTTTAATTAGTCCTTAATTCTACAATTCAATAAATCAAATGCTCAGCCCTTTTGCTGAAGCTTCCCCAGTGGTCCCTTGGTTAGATGGAGCTCATTCTCTAATAAACTCCACAGGAAAGGCTCATGATTATAACATTCAATGAGTTCTTCCATGTTCAAAATTGGTTTTGTATCCCCATAATTGAAGGAATACTTGGCTGGATACTGACTCCTTGGCTTGTAATTGAGTTTTTTGAAATTGCTATTCTGTTGCCATGATTTGAATGGTTGCTCTTCAGAAGTATGAAGCCAGTCCAATATATCCTTAAAATTTAACACTTTATTTGTCCAGAGTTGATTATTCAAAGCCAATGTGTCCAGATAAATGGTGGGTCAAAAGGCAGGTTTAAATTTCCCTTAACCCAGAAAGCTTTCCTGGGATATAGTTTATAAGTTTTGTTTCACCGTGTTTTTATTCTCCAGATTGTTATATTGGACACCTCCTTTGCTGGTTTTCTCTTACAATTTTCTCTGAGGTCCTTCTTTTTTTTCTATCTCATTTTCATTTGATGTCCTTTAGATTTTTATTCCTTCTCATTCTTTCGAGTACTTTATAAATTTATTTTTCATTTCTAACAGTGTTGTCATTTCTTCAATTTCTTTCCTGAATTTGGTCAATATTCATTGCATTTCATGTCTTTTTAAAAATCTATTTCTCTCCTTAAATTTTTGGATACCAGGCTGTTTTGCTTGTTTGAAATATTTAATTTAGTCTAGAGTACTGTTCTACTTTGTATTATTCTGCTTTGTGGCTATTTTCCCAAGGGCTTTTTTTGGGGGCAGCGGATAGATTTTCATAAGCTGATAATAAACATTTTCTGTTTTCTTCTAAAAGTGTTTAGTGGCTTTTTTTCCCTCCTAGTCATTGTGTGGACAGCATTCATTAGGTTAAGAGTACTTTCTTTTGTCAATACAGTAAAGTGCAGTTTCTTGAATTGGTAATGGGAGGAGAGGTTGGTGTCTTCTTTCATTTTGTAGGAGCCTTAATTCTTTTATTTCTTATCTTCTCTTCACTTGCTATGGATTGGAGCCATCAGCTCTTCTCTGTTTATCTCTTTCCCCAAAAGCAAAATTCCTCCAAGGCTGCCACTTCTAATCCTGCTCATTCTAAAATTCATTCCCTGTAGCTGATGCTAAAAACTACTAAGTCCAGTCTATGTTGGCACATACTGTTGTACTTTCTCTTTTTGAGCGGATTTTGTATCTGTTTTACCTAAGTCCTTCAATCCCCTCTCCTCCGTTTCATACAGTCTCTAAAGCTTCCCACTGTACACTCTCCACATACAGACTGCAGCAGCAGTGGAAATTCTATTGGGACTGGGTGATTATCTTGCTACTTACAGGTAATTTGAAGTTCATGATATTCTTTCTCCCACTATTGCCAAAGAAATACAAATGAAACCTAATTAACTCATACCTTCTATGATTTTGGGGAAGGATGTGTGGAGGTAGCCATTATTATCCTTCAGACTGAGAAACCAGTTAAAGCTTATTAGTAACTTTTGTTTCTACATTAATAAGTTTCTGCAGCTTCCTTACCCTAGCTTTTTAACAAGTTGTCACCATGATAATTATAATCAAGATTAGTCAATTATAAAAATTAGCTTCAATTTATCCATCCATTCAACAAATAATTTTGTGTAAATGATACATAAATGATGGGCTAATATAGCTGTATACATTTACCTCCACTTAATGTGATGTACAAGATAACTAAAAATCATGCCAAGCTATATTTTAGACAGTAAAAATGAGTCATGGATCACAAAATAGAAAATATTATAAACGTTGTACCATTAGTCAAACACACACACACACACACACACACACACACACACACACACTACTGCTTACCATCAGCTGTTATCTTGAGTATGTTAAATTGATGCATCATCAAAACTAGCATTGGGTTAATTATGATTGTTTTTCTTCATTCCATAGTGAAGATAATAGTTTTACTTTCTAGAACTTATATAGTATACAAAATGTA